ACAGAAAAAAAGAGAAAAATAATACAAAAGGTGTTCCTGGTTTCGATTTGAAAAGGCGACGACTTTTGAAGCTCTCGAGCAATACGACGTGTGACGACGTGTCACCTTTCTAATATCGGACTGCACCTCGGATGAGTTATGATACGTGGAACCAGGCAAAGAGGAGGAAGCGGCGAGGAAAGAGGCTGCCGGCAACGAAAGATTCCTCGTTTCTTCTTTCTTCCTTTCTTCCTTTTTTTTTTCCTCTTTTCACCATCCCCCCTCGACTCGAGACGCCACGCCAATGGCGAAAAGAGGCGAAAGGAAAAGGGGGAAAGTGGAACAACGTTGCGCCACGGGGGATGCCGCGGCTTCTGAACCATTGTCGAGTTAGCTTGGAAAGGAGAATTTTTTTTTCCCTCCCTTTCAATGGACGGGCTCGAATCAGCCCGATCAGAAGATACGTTTCGAATAATTGGAACCGAACACTTCTTCTTCCATCCGTCTACCATCCCACGAATTCACCGACCTTTAACCAAAACGCGTTAACTTTCCCCATTTCTCGGATTCGGTCTGCCGCATTTTCACCTTTTCACCGTGAATTTATCCGTGGACTCGTGGCAAACCGTGGATTAAGAACGGCTAAAGTTTTTCGGCCGAAATTTTTCCCTTCTTTTTTTTTTTTTTTTTTTTCCCTCTCCACGGAGGAGAGAAAAACGAAAACGAGAGAGAGAGAGAGAGAGAAAAAGTGGCGGCGGCCTGAATTTACAGCATTTAATATCGGCAAAATGAAGTACGAGCAAGGACGGAGAGCGCGGCAAGAAGGCCGCCATTTTGTGGCATCGATAAATCCATTTTATTGCCCTGGCTTGTACGTAGGCGGTCTGACTACGGTTACCGGGGAGAGCCTACCTTTACTCTTATATACTCTTATATACTCTTTCTCTGGTGTGTGTATAACAAATATGGAATAAAAGAAAAAAAAAGGAAAGGAAAACCAATGACCAACCCTCACTAGAGGGGCATCAACTTTTATCTTACTCTTTCATTCGATCGCCTCTCTTCACGCATCCTCCCCAAGACCAAGGCAAAACGCTTGGCAATCTCGAATACGAATTTTCTTTCTAAATTTTGATGCGTAATTTTTTCTTCTTTTTTCCTTTATTTGATTCAAGATATTTTAAAAAGGAAAACACTCTCGGATGGTATAATATTCGTACTCTCTTTTCTATCCGGAGAGACAGAAATGTATATATTTATAATTTGATAGCTTCGTTCTCGACACGTGACAAGATAAGACAATTTTCTCAGCTATGTACCAGAAATATGGTGTCAATCAAAAAATATGCCACTAGTTTTAGTCTAATTTCTCGATTTCTCCATCGTGGGAAAAAAATTTGGGGTGAGGAAAAATCGTGATGGAATTTTTCGAGGAGTTGATGAGAAGTCGAGGGATGAAAGTCGAGGGGGTTCGGTTGAGAAAGAGATTTTCTCTCGCGGGGAGGGGGAGGGAGGGCAGAGTTTTCCAAGATGAAAGTTAATTCCGCTGGATAATCTCAGGGCCTGGGGCCGGGGAGCGGGTGTAACGAGGGCGAAGAAAGATCTGTCACCCTTCCTCGCTCCTTTTTCAGCTTGGAAATCTTGGAAGCGGATCGAAAAGTTCGCCGAATTTATGAGATTTCGGGTAAGGGAGAGGGGCCAGTTCCAGCAGGAGGGAGGGGGAGAGGGATTAACTTGGTCGAGCCATTTTGTCGACCGCGAGAGGACTTTGTGACCAGAGGGAGAGGGGAGAGAAGACACATTCCCAGCAATTAGCCAACCCTGTGGTGTCTCTGTACATCGCCGGTGATGCACTCTATATTCATCTTATCATGCATGTGTACCATCGATCGATGAAGAAGATGCTCAGTGAAATTCGATGAAAATTCAATGAAACTTAATCATCCATGGATGTTGGGATAATCACGAATAATAAAGATCCTCCAATAACGTTTAAGACGATATAATTTTCGATCGAACATCATTGGAGCGTTTCCCTCCTCCTCCCCAGAAGTTGTCGGCAAACGTTGTAGCAAAACTTTGCCGCGAATAACTTTGGACGATGGCCGGTCTCTCCTCCATAGTCGCTAAGTCCATAAGACTTTTTCCCTTCCCCGAACGGAATATTCGGGAGGGGGGGGAGAGAAATTTAGTCATCTAGTTCGAACCCGTTCCACGTAAAGTAACGAGTGAAGGAAAAGAAAGGAAAGAAAAAAAGAGAGAAAAAAAAAGAAAAGTGAAGAAAGAGGTATAACAGGGGACAAAAAGAAGAGCAGACAAGGTTGGATCAACCGGTGCAGATTAATCGGTCGTAGTACGCCGAGGCACCGACCTTTTAAGAAGTCTGGAGAGAGAGA